TTTTTTTTGGTTGCTCGCTTTCGCTCCTCGGGGAGATTCGCCTGACCCTTTTGTGAGGGTCGAATGAAGTACTTCGATGTGCTTCGTCCCAGCTGGGCCTAACTTGCTCAACTGAAGAATCTTTCTTCAGTTGAAGCAGCCGAGGGTTAATTTCCCTCAATTCACTCAACCCGTTGAATGAGCTGCTCATTGAATAAGCTACTTATTGAATAAGCCACCCGTTGAATAAGCCACCCGTTGAATAAGCCACCTTTTGAATAAGCCACCCGTTGAATGGACCCCGAGAAGCTACCTGCGCACTTGCTCGGGGAAATTCCCTTGGGGAATTCCCTCGAGGCGGAGGTATTCCCTTGAAGGCCCCCGGACCTTCCTTGAGCTGACAAAAGCCTCCATGACAACAGAGGAAGAGGAAATTTCCGTATCAGGTGAGACTTGTCATGGTAAAGTTCTCATGTGTAACATTGTAATATTTGCCAATTCCTTTTTTTTTTTACACAGGAGGGTGTCGGTCTGGAGGAAGCCGTTCGCAAGGGAGAGCAACAAAAATAATTGTTTAAATAACAAAAGTATAAATATATATATAAATGCTTCAGAGTGCGACTCTCAAACATAAAAAAAACATGAAACTCGATTATACGTTGTAAAAAAAAATTGCAGCATGTAAAAATCCAACAGGGACAGGCAACCCCGCGAATTTAGTCATTCTGCCCGCCGCGAATTTAAATAATCAGCGCACCGCGCATTTAAATAATCTCGCCCGAATGGGGAAACCGTTCCCGCTCCTCATTTGGAGACAATGCGGAAAGCCTTGAGCGCGGAGACAAAGCAAGGTCCAGCCTTTCTTTCGGCTTGATGCAACGCCGGTTTCGACAGCTTCATCCTCGGATTATCATCTCGGCTTGGCCTCGGCTTAGCCTGAGATTAGCCGGAGATTAGCCTCCTGTGAACGCGTTTGGGTGAGCTTTCTGCTTCGCCGCGGGAACTTTTCGCTATTGTTTAGCGGGAAGGAATGATGTCATTTTTAATTAAAACTAAGTTACTTTTGAAGGCTGCTTAATTCACAATTCTTAATTTCAAATTTTAAATTCTTAATTTCAAATTTTAAATTCTTAATTTCAAATTTTAAATTCTTAATTTCAAATTTTAAATTCTTAATTCTTGATTCTTAATTCTTAATTCTTGATTCAAGATCCGCATTACTCGCAATTTTTTTTGCATTGTCATTTTTCCCCACCCCTGAGCATTCCTCATTTCAGCATGCACGATTTGCGGTGGTACTAAATATTGTTATATAACAAATTAGGAATAATATATAATTTCTAAGAAGGGATTTGGCAAATTTGGATTTATAGAAAAAAATCGAAATTTCGCAAAAAGTGTACCTTTGCAGAGCATCTGGGAGTGGCAGCGTCCTGGGCGAGCGCATTTCAGATGATACAAAAAAAATTGTCAACATTTTTGCAGAAAGTTTGCCCAATTCGATATTTTGCGTGCCAATATGTTACCAACTTATTTCCCATGCAAATTTGGTTTATTTTAATTTAACTGGTGGGAATGAGATGATAAACAGCGGGGAAAAAAAACATTAGTATAGTGATACTCTTTTATGCCTTCATTATCACTCAATTTTAAATTAACTTATATTTTCATCATTTGTGATTTCTAAAATTTAATTATGTATTGCAAGTTGTGACTTTTATTTCATTTCCTCTGATCACGTATGCTGAGTTTTAGTTTACATTTCTTTGCGTATTTATTTCTTATAATAAAAAATTCTCAACTTATTCCGAGCGTCCCTTTAAATACTCCGAAATGTGACATTTAAATAAATGATTTAAATAAATGATTTAAATGGCTCACTGGAGTTCGGCGTGTTGTCGAAGGGGTAGGAGGCGACGAGGGCGCCGCCGTGGAAGTTGGCCGACAGGACGAACTGGATCCGGGAGATCCAGTCCTTCACGGCCTCCGTCTCCGGCTGGGGCCGGACGTTGTTCTCCTTGAAGTAATCCGGGAAGTTCCGGTTCAGGTCGAAGCCCTGGACGTTGTACCTGGAGGGGTAACCGCGCGGTTAGAGGGCTGGAGGGGTAACCGCGCGGTTAGAGGGAGTCGGCGCGGGGTGGTGGAGCTTAACCGCTGGTCGGCAGTTAGGCGAAACGCAAATTAATTCCTTCCCTCTTAGATCACTCCCACGGATTAATCAAATCAATCTTAAGCAAATATAACATGACGTCAGCGGCTTATTTCATGGCTCATCCTCTTCTACCAGTGTTGCACGATCCTCGGACCGGAACCAGCCGACTTCCCAGCTTGGTCGGCCGGTTGCCCTCTTTGCGGCCTCAACGCGGGATGGCCGGAACCGCTCCATCAGATCACATTTCTGAATCAAATCCTCAAATGTGAGTTTGCATCACACCCGACAAGATGTGACTTAACTCGTGACTTAACTTTTAACTCGTGACTTAACTCAAACGGACTGAAATCCAACTCGAATCCGCATCTGCTCAAATTTAACAGAGCTGTAAATTAAATTCGAAAATCCCTACGTGGAAAACATATTCAGCGATAAGTGATACAAATATATAAATATAAATGTATATAAGTTTATATTTAAAAAATAGTTGTCTGACCTCCCCTTGCCCCCTTGGCACTGCCCCTCCTCCGAGACGGCGAACCCATCCGGGTTCATGCAGGGCATGATGTGGATCTTCGTGTTGTCCAGCAGCCAGGTCACGTACTGGTCGTAGCCGTAGTTTGTCACCAGGTACTTTTAAGCGGAAACGGACGACTTAAATCGAAGCCGGAGCGAAGCACGAGCGAAGCACGAGCGAAGCATTACCTCGATGAGGTGAAGCATGAGCTCCCGGCCGACGGCCTCGTTCCCGTGCATGTTGGCCACGTACTTCACGTTCGGCTTGCCGATCATGTGCTCGAACGGGGAGCTCGACACCACCAGCACCCACAGGTCTCGACCTGGACGGGTGCAAGCGATGAGGTCAAGGTCAAAAAGGTCAAGGTCAATATGTGAAGGTCGGTCGAGGTCGAAATCGCTGAGGTTCGAATTTGGTCGAGGTCCGAAATCCAAGGTAAAATAAAGTTCCACTCGGTGACAGTCGCCAAATTCGTCAAAAAACGAAATTAAGTCACCAGATCAATATTAAGTGAAATTAGGTCAAAGTTAAGTCACCAGATCAATATTGAGTGAAACCAGGTCAAAGTTGAAATCAGGTGGACATCATCGACGATAC